AACTCAACGACAGGTGAGAATAGTTGTGTAATTAAAGTATTTTTGATCGGGAATTCTTTGTGAAAGTCACGGTCAGAAGCAGTACTAGCTATCATCCATGATATCATAAAATATAATATACAGGACCCTCAACAAGCCATTTAATAATGCTAGTACCACAATATCTTGGCGCAAATCCTCGACCTTTCCCTCGGGTCCGGCGTTTAATCAAGCCCAGCGTAGTGCCGGTTCGACGACCCGGGGGAGCAGAGAAGTCCTGTTTGACTTTGGCGTGTTTGTAAACACCCACACGCTGATTGTGGCCACAGGGTAGATAGATCAGTATTTACATTTGTATAGAAGTGTAGGATAAAAATAGATTGGGGAGTAACAGTATTTAATTGAGTTTATTTTCTTAGAACCTGATGAAGTAAAGGTTATTTTGGTTAGTTTTGTAGATTTAAGCCTGCAATAAGAGACCAAGAAGATGCTTACTGATAGGCAGAACTTTAATCGCTACATTACAAGATATGTTTACTTCGGGCCTAGGAAATTAGTGTGACAGTTAAAACATTTCTCATTCCATCATAATGTCAAATGACGCATAAATGCACCCCCTGGGTGAAACTGCTATCAAGAGTAAGCCCATAGTACATAAAAAAATCAAAGAACAATATTTACAAAGGAAGGTATGCTATCCAGCCCCAAATTAGTAAGTCAGGCTTATTTAATCAAAATTACTAATAACAGTAGGTGAGTATTTCTCAAAAAAAATGTACGTAACGAAACGGTAGTAACGAAATAGTAAGGCCATAAGGCTTGATATACATTGGCGAAATATTATGAATGCTCTTTATTTATTCAATTCGAAATATTTGTAAGTATGCACCCAAATACGGGGTAATATTAAGGGGTTAGAAATAAAATAAGGGAGTAATCATTCATACTATTTTAATAAAATTATTTTTGTTCCATCATGTTTATTCATTTTGAGTCGTTCTCTGTAAGCTTTTTGCCTTTCGGCATTGGTTTTTGGCGGCATTCCTAAAAAAACAAAAGAAGTAATCACATAAAAACGTAATCTAAATGATTTGATAATTTTTTGCTGGTGGCACTTCTGTAAAGCAGATAGTATCCAATCCTTTTGTTATTAACGCTCTATATTTTTTGAAATTAATTAAGTAGTGAATATTACTATGCTTAGTCAGGTAATAACAGTATACACTCAGCATTATGTTGTACTTTTTCGTAACGTAACGAAATTCGCAAAAAACGTAACGAAATATTAGACAAAATGAGATCAGAAACAAGTATTTTTTTGATAAAATTTGTTACAGCAAATATAAAAGCTTACTAAATGTTCGTACCACACGTATTACAAAAAATGGTTAAATGAAGACTTACCGTTCTATATAAAATCGCTGATTTTACTGCCTGTTACGAAAAAGTAATCCCACAAAACACACACGTTTTCACTAATTTTCGCGATAGATGTTATGGCGGAGACGTCAGGCCAACAGCCATTCAGAGTGCAGCTATTGTTGTCCGTGTAAAATAAATACGGAATTGTTCAGAAACCATGGGAAAGTAGAAATAAATCGTAACTAAAGAGTAAATAACGAAATAGTAAATGAGAGCGACTCATTTTGTTTTTTTGCTTTAAATTGCCAATTCATTATGACACCCCATAGAAAATCAATTTGATACAGAAACTGCGATTACTGTAGAACGATAATACAAAGAAATTTACAATAATTTAGTTACGTATCGCATTTTATGACCAAAAATACATGAAAAAGCTAGGGGTGGCAAACAGGTTTTTGTATGAAAGGTAAAAAAGGACTATTTTTAAAATATCTAAATATTTGGTAATAAGTAGGATTATAGCTATAATTCTTCGTTATCTTAAAGATTAATATTCATCCTTCAAAATTGTGTGTGTGTTTTTTTTGTGTGATGATTTATAAATATAAAACTTTTGAACTGTTTCAAAGCACACTTTTTTTTTTCAAAATGTACATTTTTTTTGAGAAATACTCAGGTATGAAAATGCTAGACAACGCCTGAAAACTACTAATGTTGTAGTAGCTGTTCACTTTGGGCTGTGAAAGTTTCTTTCTACAGACAAATAAAGCAATGAAGGGGACTATAGAAAATGGCGACAAATTTATTGAACGATCACTTTGTGTTTGCTCACACGGAGTCTGTAAATACGTACAACATAGCAAACAGTTTTTATTGTACAGTCCGACAACACATCAGACATTTTTGCTGCAAAATAGCTCTTATTTTAAGATGCCACAGTGTTTACCGTAATTCATGTGTCTTAGCCCGTTCCTATTTCATCATCATCATCATCTCAGCCATAGGACGTCCACTGCTGAACATAGGCCTCCCCTAATGTTTTCCATGTTACCCGGTTGGTAGCGGCCTGCGTCCAGCGCTTTCCTGCTACCTTTATGATGTCGTCGGTCCACCTTGTAGGTGGACGTCTTATTTAGACTTACCTAAACCTTTGCGTTGAAATTTGCGATTAAATATTTTAGCCTGGAATGAAACGACGCTTATATGCGACTCTACATTAAGAACAGAATCCAGCCTGTGATTGTAAATATTTAAATTCTACTAATCAAGGCTTAAATTGTGTTGAGTCTAAATCTAGTTGACAGTCGTTTCATTATACATAGATACGAACCAAGGTCGTACGTTAAACTCACGAGAGTGTTTGCTCTCTTAATTGTAATAGAAAATATGATATATTATCGAGGTAAAAAAGAGAGAGATATCGAGAGTATCATCATTCAGCTTCTAGCAGTCTCTTGCTGGAACAAGCCTCCACCATTCAACAAGAAATTAATACGATCACCTCTTGTTTTTTCATGGCAGCAGGAAAAGAACGTTTATAAAATAATAAAAAAATTAAGCATGAAAGTTATTATAAGATTTTAAACTTTCGCGTTCCATTTCAATTAAAATAGTAAGAACGGACGACGCCGCGAACCGCCAGTCTGCTTGTGACCACGGCTGCAGCATCGCAGCCGAAAAGTCAAGCCGTGAGTACATAATGTAACTCATTAATAAACGTCGCGTTAAGACCCGTGTCTTACTATTTTAAATTAAAGTTAATTATCATAGATTTGTTTATGGCTTACATAATACCGCGATTTCTCTCAACAGTAATCCACAATCGTTTATCTTAATTACATACAAGGCACCGTAAAGACAACTTTTATCATTATCTCTAAGTCCCACCACAACACAAATCACTCTATCTCTAAATCCTGCTAATTAGTCTAATTACGGTGCCAAAAGTTTTGTCGAGCGCCTATTGTGGAGCCCACAAGCACTCCAAATTCGCTTTGAAGTTAGGAAGGTTAACTCTTGAACATCTTTTGTTCTGTTGGGGCTTGTTCTTGAGTTGGGAAACTTGGACTGGACCAGTCAATAGGGTAATCACCTCTAGTGGTATACTTTTTGTGAGCTGTCAAAATGTCACTGTCCCTTAACTACGTCTTGTAAGGCAAAGGGTACCTATATCTTTTACTAGCTTTTGCCCGCGGCTTCACCCGCGTGAAATTTCGTTTGACACAGATCGTCATAAATATGTTATTCTGTGTTATAAACAATAATACTGCAAAGTTTCATCAAAATCCGTTCAGTAGTTTTTGCGTGAAAGAGTAACAAACATCCAGACATCATGACATCCAGACATCCAAACTTTCGCATTTATAATATTAGTAGGAAGTAGGATAATGCTAACAGCTAGGGACTGGATCTCCCTGCCTGCTGCTGTCTTTCCTGAACACTATAATCCGGGCCATTTCAAGGCGAGAGTGAATAGGCACTTACAGGGCAGATATGTACTATCCTAGACTGCATCTCACTTAACATCAGGTGCGATTGCGGTCAAATACCTGCCTTGTCTTGCATAAAAAAAATCTATAACATCAGTTAGCGAATTTGACTAAGGCCCGGTTTCTGATATATTTTTGGCTTGAGCGTGCTCAGCTCATCAACTTTTTTTTAAGACAAATTACTAATTGTCTCGTTAGCCCCTCGTGGTAAGCAAAATATAATTACTTGTGTTACGAGTGGGCTCACCACAATAGTCGAGTGACGGTGGGATTTTGTATCAACATTTAAATGTAACAATAATAAAGAGGCAGCAAAGCACTATTCTATTATTAAACTCTACCTTTATTAAAGTGAAATCGTTAACTCATAGTCCAATTGTTCTTTTGATAGTACGCTGAAGCGGTTAAAACAAACGTTCAATTCGCTTTTCACAAAGGCGGGCATGAAATAATTGCGTTTGCAGCGGAACGCGCGGTTTGTACAGTAAACCGCACAACCTTTTTGTTGCATATTCGCACCTATTTACAACTGCAGAAGATATACTATGAAGTGCTGTTGTCGGTGTTAGTTTCGAACGGACGGACTTCGGAAAGTTTTGACTAAAACTGCGTTAGATTCTGACGTCAAAAGTTTCAAATTCACCGTTTTTCAGCCTCCGATATGCTACAAACAAAACAGCTCTTTATTTTGACATTTTAATGGATCATTTTAGATTAATTTAATTGAAATAATTAAAGGATAGTTCGATACTAATTTATTTTATTTCTAAATAGGTACTAAAAGCTCCAAAAACATGTGAAGCAATATAAAATACAGACGTTTCTCCTACCGAAAGTATAGCTTTATTTCTGTAACAATCTACAGCAAAAACATACTATTTTAATTTCGTAAAATTTACGAGGAAAACTGATTTACAGCTTTCATAAAAGCTCCTAAAAGTAAAGCTTTAAAGGTAAAATATGCGAGTATTACTCCAATCACCTGCCTACACATAAAATGGCGTGACACAGAGGAAATGAAAATGATTTCCGGTTATATTATCAAATAAGTTTGAATGAAAGACTCAGTAAAAAGTGTAATTCATGCCATAAATCAACGTAATAAGGTTTCATTTCAAATGTGATTTAGTAGATGATTTATTAAAATACTCAATGTTTTTGTTGCAGGCTCAAAAACAAATCGAAATTGGAAACTGATGAGAATTGTCGAACGAAAAGCGCTGAAATTGGTGAGTTTTATATATTTTTTTATCAAAATATCGGATCTGTTTCAAATAAGACTGTGTATTTTTGTTGTTTAGAACTTATCTATTACAACTACGTAAGAAGTGTTAAGCTTTATTTGACACCGACCGTACAGTCGATGGAAAATGGAATGAAAATGAAACCCACACGGAATAGGGCCCTTTTTGTAACAATCAAACTTTTACCTGATAAATAACAGAACGAAACTTCTGTACCTACGCAATATCCAGTAAACCAGTTATTATTTTATTCAATTCCAAAACTCCCGCAGATTCCAAATCCCAGATATCTGCTACGCGATTTCAATTTAGATGTATTAATAAAACCGCGTTCAGTTCGTGTTGTTTTTTAACGAAACGTAGCAAATAAGTTACGAATTAGTCAAACAAACCCGCTTTTTACCCGACTGCGGCAAAAGGAGGGTTATGTTTTTCTTGTTCAAACTCAAATATGAGGTAAATTATTGGAATACTACTTGTTTCAGAAAACGTCGAGCCGGCGCCTCCTAGGGCAGCAGTGGAAAAGCCCTTTCTGCTCTCCGATGGAAGGTAAAAGTTCATTTGTTATTCTCCTTTGTTTATTAGGACCATTTACATACCACGACTTTACATAAAAGGTCCAGAATTCATCAACTCCAAAACAGCCTATCTCGCTTTTATCTGATTTATTTCATTCCCCATAAGCAATGGAAAAGCCCTTCCCGCTCTCCGATGAAAGGTAGGTTCATTTCTTATTCTCCTTTGTTTATTAGGACCATTTACACACCACGACTTTTCATAAAAGGTCCAGAATTCACAGATCATAAAATTAAAACATCCTATTTTTCCTTTAGCTCTTTTTTCGATACCCATGCGACGCAACACACAGTGTAAATTTTTATTTATTCGCAATATTTTATTAGTCAATAATAAAATCTAGATTATACTCATGACTTGGTAGTACATACTCCTGTTCTCCTGAAAACATTTTACAGCAATAACAGTAGGATTATTTTGGAGGATATTGTACCAACACAGATAGAAAAGAGTGAATAAAGGTTCCGATTTTTCGAACTTGTAGGGAACAAAATGAAATCACTTCACTAATCCGTACAAAACCCCGCACGTTGAGGCGAAGCATTAAGGGATTGGTGTGGATTTTTGCGTTTTTAGACAATGATGATGTTGGTTCAGCCGCCGTGTCAGTGATTGAGTGGCTTATCCTTACCTTACCTTCTATCCGGATCACCGCCGGTGTAGCCGAATTTTGCAATCTTGGAATTGAGGTCGAATAACTTAGGTACTTTACCTACTACATCCCTAGTGTAAAATCGTATTATTAGGGCTCGTTCTCACGGCAATCCAGTTTTGAGGGATCCAGTAATGTAGGATCCTGGAACTGTCGTGTGATTACAGATTATGGAGTGTTTGAAATTCAAATTACAAATTCCAACGGATCGATTCAATATCTCGAGTTCATAAAATAGCTTAATTTTTTAAAAGTAATATTTTGAGTTATTTTTACTTACGTACCTACCTTCCTATATTACTGCTAAGTCAATATCGCTAGGTGTAAAGGTTTTTTGTGATCTAATTTTATGCTTACATAAAAGAAACCTCGTGAATGCTTATTTACCGAGAAAATATGAATATTTAATAAATAATACATCTTGTTCTGGGTACTATGAAATTACTTCGAGAATGGTTTCCAAGTACCATAAATAACCCTCCTTCTGGCGCAGTCGAGTAAAAATACATTGATGATATAAGGTAAAACTAAGTAGCCAAAAGTCTATTAAATGCTAAAGGTGCAATTTCACCAGCAATCAAAAGTTTTTTAATTGTGTTGAAAAGTACACGATAGAATAAAATACAAAATGTATTTTAAGGTTAACACTTGCATAAAAGTTAGAACAAAATCTCACTCCGTTTCTGTCAAGTCGTCTTCAACCCATTTCAACTCTTACGAACGTTGTAAATTAATTTGCAAGAATTCGGCGAACGTTTGTCACGTACAAGAGTTTTATTTGTTTTGGCCGCCTTTGGTGCTATCAATTTGTATTTATTTGTTTTATCTCGTAGAACGTTTTTTTCTCTGTTAACTTCAATTATGTTTAAAATGAACGAATAATATTTGTGTAAAAAAATCCAAACTAATGCCACGGCTAAGCCGGGAAACCAATTTAAATATGTATTAGTAAGGGGTCGTATGAGAAAGTCCATGCTATCTTAAGTTTATAGGGATGATATTTTCATGTTGATATACTGAGATTATAATATGAATAAAATGTAAGACGTCCATCCACAAGGTTGACAAGACCTAATAAAGTTGCAAAAAATCGCTGAATGCAGGTACCAACCGATCAATCTGGAAATCGTTGGGGGAGGCCTATGATCAGCAGTGGACGTCCTGAAGCTAAAATGATGATGATGAATTTTACTTCATAACAGGCACGAGGCACTCGCGAGTACTCTAGTAGTTAAAGTTTAATATCAAAATAATGAGAACACGAAAAAACTGGTCATATTTCATCAAACACAGATCAAAAACTTAATAAAGTTCTTGATTACTTGTTTTGTTTTTTGGGCGAGAAGATTCAATTTCTCTGTTTTGCCCTTTGTTCTATTAATTTCGCTTTGCTCCACCTCTTCGTTCCCCTGATTAAAGTACGAGGTCCCCTAAGTGGGACGCTTAGGGAATATAACGCTTCATTTAACGTACTAAATTGTGTGGAGGATGAGACAAAATTTGTTCTACTTGGGACTTTTATACAGTAGAATGCATTAGCTAACTAAACGAATGAAAAACACTATTGATTGAAACTTCAAAAACAGGTTATTTAATTATAGTTGATTTTAGGTTTATTTCAATGCTTAATTTATTTAAGTAGGTACCACTTGGCCATTTACTATCTGGCATGACCCAAAACTGCCCAATCAATTAAAAACAAATGATCACATTCGACTTACTTTAACATGTTATTATGATAATCACAACCAATTGTTTTGTTCTACAAAATTTATTCTCATTAAGGCCGGGTAGCAGAGAAAATGGCGAAAATGAGGTTTTCATTTTTCATTTTTGAGGTACTAAACAGTAAAATTAAAGGCTAAGATTTTTATTGGGCATAGTTGAGGATATTTTCTAGGGCTATTAACGGATGGAAACACGATTTGATGAAGTTGACTCGATAGAATAAATTCCCAAATTTACCTCTATTCGTTTTCTATTTATGGTTTTATTTTTAAAATAAGCGATTTGAGATTCTAAATCTTTTACTAAACTAAAGTTCAGAAATAACTTGAGGGCTTTTAACGGATGAAATTTTTATATTGCGTCTTATTTAGTTACTATGTTAAAAAATGTGGAAAAAATCGTCCATGACGGCTTGGACAATCTCAATCAGTCGCGCGGTGGCGCTTACGGAGGACGGACGCGTGTCAGTTTTTTGGCCGTGACATTTCGCGATTTGTCAATATTTTTGACAATGATGACTTTGATGAGTCACAGTATAATAATATCAGTGTTACTGGAGAAAGATAGGGCATGAATATCGGAATCTCGGAATCTCGTAATATCGGAATCTCGGACTTCCAGATCCGATATTTCAATTCCGATATTGAGCGATCCAATATCGTAATATCGGAATCAGATAAAAGTTTTAATTGAGATTTTAAACAAAGCGTTTAAACTCGCCACAACCTGCCACAAAGCCCAAAGTACATGATTGGCAAAGACCAATGATTTTCTCATGTCTCTCACCATCACTATTTATGGTTAATTTAACTTGTTCTAAATAAATTTTAGCATTTGCCATAGGTACTTGGTCAACAAAGAAAGACATCTCAACTCCTTTTCAAACATTAATTTTACTGGACTATGGAGTTCTGCGTACTATGTGCCTTGCCCATTGCCACTTCAGCTTACTAATCCGTCGGGCTATATCAGCGACTTTAGTTAGTTTACGGAGCTGATTAGATCTCGTAAAGAAACACCAAGCTTATCCCTCTCCATAGCACGCTGTGCCATAAATTCAAAGGCCACGTTTTCGAGCCGTATATCATCACTGGTAACACACACTAATGGAAGACTTTCATCTTCGTATTCGACGATTTACCTCTTTCTCGAAATTGCATCTAACTACCTAGCTAAGCGTTTGTCCGAGATAGACATACTTACTTGTCAACAATCTCGAGAATTGACCTCCTAACCGAAACTGGGTAAGGGGCAACATGGACATTCGACAAAAGCTTCGTTTTTTCCATATACATACTCTTCGAGCATTGTGATAATGTCTTGCAACGGTTCTGCCTTAGAACGCAAAACAGACTGACGATGAGGCAGCAAGATTCTGAAGTGGAGGCCACGTACCGGAAAGTGCAGCGTAGGACTCATAACCACAAGGTGGACCGACGACCTCATAAAGGTAGCAGGAAGGCGCTGGATGCAGGCCGCCACCAACCGGACATTGTGAAAACAGCATCAGAGCCTGTGTTCAGCAGTGGACTTCCTATGGCTAACATGATGACCTTTGTGAGATAGTATTATTTGCTGAGATGCAGCATATAATTTTTAAAACTGACAGGCGTCAGGAAATATTTGACGACGTGAATAATGCTCTTTCCAAAGTATTAGACTGGTTTACAACTAATAATTTGCTATTAAACGCAAAAAAAACTATATGTTTAAAATTCACTATGCCTAATGTCAAACAAGTTAATACTAATATTACAGTAAATAATGAACGCATTGAACTGATAAACTCTACTGTCTTTCTAGGTATTACCCTAGACTGTAAATTACAATGGGGCCCCCATATTGCTGCCTTGGCGGGAAGACTTAGTTCAGCTGCCTTTGCGGTGAGAAAGATCAGAAACTTGACTGATGTTGAAACAGCAAGGCTTGTATATAGGGCATGAATATCGGAATCTCGGAATCTCGTAATATCGGAATCTCGGACTTCCAGATCCGATATTTCAATTCCGATATTGAGCGATCCAATATCGTAATATCGGAATCAGATAAAAGTTTTAATTGAGATTTTAAACAAAGCGTTTAAACTCGCCACAACCTGCCACAAAGCCCAAAGTACATGATTGGCAAAGACCAATGATTTTCTCATGTCTCTCACCATCACTATTTATGGTTAATTTAACTTGTTCTAAATAAATTTTAGCATTTGCCATAGGTACTTGGTCAACAAAGAAAGACATCTCAACTCCTTTTCAAACATTAATTTTNTCAAACTACGAAGAAATTTTACCACAATGCAAGAACCTCTAGGATAGATTAAACATAATTATTTGAATATTTTTTCATTACGTGAGAGTTATATTGATATAACCCAAAAATTATATTCCGCACAAAGTGTCCGTCATGCAACAACTAATCGTTGAAAAGTTATCAAAGAATCGATTAAAAGAAAAGCAGCAGGCTAATCTAGAAAATTACATTGAATTATATTCTTAAATTTTGAATTTAATTATTATTATGTATAAATATTCTTTATAAAGGTCTTATTTATTTAAATAACGTATTTATCATAGTTTTGATTTCACTAAAGCTCTCTAAACATCTACCTGGTAAATATGAAAATCTCGAGGATGCAGCGACGAAGTATAATTTATGGTTAAACAAACTTACCTTAAGTGAAGTTTGACCGTAATTATACGAGTCGCTGCATCCGAAGAGATTTTNAAGTGAATATACCTACAAGTATAAAGCTTTGAAATAAAATACGTTTCATTTTTGTCCGCCCTGGGGCATTTTCTCATATTAAAGTTCCCAATGTCCTTTACACCGACCCAAAGTTTGTTGTGTGTACGGACGACAGCACTTCAAGGTAAACACAATGGTATCTTATGTGCTTGTATTAAATGTGATTTTACAACAAAAATGTAAAGTCTTTTGTGCTTTCGACTGTACAACCAAAATTAGATTGTCACTGTTGATAAAACTTGGTCAATTTTCTGATAACGTGATACATTTTACAATTCACCGAGATAATATGTTGAACAAAAACCATTTCTGTAGACAATGGTATAAAGTTAAATGTTCTAAAGCTTTGACTCGGTATTTAATCATGAATTTATCTCTTTCATCAGCCAGGTAGCTTTTCAATACAAATTTTCATCTCATAAATAATAACTTTCATCACAAAGTATGGTGTTGTGTTGACACAAATTACTAATAGTCCCGTTTACCTAAGCTCATATGCTGCTACGAGTGGATTCACCATAATAGTCCAGCGGCGGGATTCGAACCAGCGTTCCTCGGATCTTGATTCGGCCAGTCCGACACAAACACCATTGGGCTATTGACGTTTATTTTAGTATATTAATGATAAGTATTATATTCAAATTCAAATTCAAATTGTGTTTATTGTGAAATCACAGGTACATAAGTCAGGTCATTAAATTTGTATGATAGATCAGCTGTGTTTCGCCGCATGGGCATACAATAATGGTAAGATACATGATTGGTCAAATTACATTTTAAGAAATTGATAGGTAGTAAAAATCTATGACACAAAAAATGATACAATTCAAATACAAGTCAATTATTAATAATTATAAGTTAATTAAGTCATACAGAAAATGTCAGCAGAATACAATATTATGTCAGTCGCAGAGAAAAAAAAACATTTCGTTAATAAATACTTAGGTACTCAAATTGTCACACAAATCATTATAAATTGTCAGAAAGATATTCATTTACAGAGTAGTAACCTTTTTTTAACAAAAGGTCCTTTAGCTTAGCTTTAAATACAAGTATACATGTAGTTTCAATTATATCTTTTCTATTCATCATCATCATCATCATCATCAACAACCCTTTACTGTCCACTGCTGGACTATGAGTCTCCTCCACTTTAGTGGACGATTTTGCCATAATCTCCACGCTTGGCAGGCAGGATTGATGTTTTTCAGAGAGCGCTGCTGCTCGTTCTCTGTTTAATGTGTAGACCCTAAGCTAAGTATTATATTAATAATAACTATGTTTCAAAAACAAGTGAATATAATCATACAATATCATCTACAGGGTGGAGTTGGAAGCGTGGCTGGACAAGGCGACGTACTCGCACGGGGAATCGATCGGCGTTAGCGTGGTGGTGGCCAACAACTCGTCCAAAACGGTGCGACGCATTAAGGTCAGTACATTGAGTACATTACTGTCTTATGCCCTTACTAATAAAACTTACACGCTCGTTGAACAGTGTTTTAAAGTGACGTTTAGTATGGAAATGTCATTTTAAAACAGTGTTCAACAACTGTGTAACTTTTTATTAGTAAGGGGGTAAGTATACAGGGTGTTTTTTTGGAAGGTTAGAAAAACTTCGTGGGTGTATAGGTAAGGTCATTTCCGCCTGTCTAACCTTTCGCCAAACACCCTGTATAGTATAATTTGTGTAATATTTGGCTGTAACAAGACAGAAAACAAGATAAGTGCACTCCAAAAATTAAAATGATGTAGATTTCAATATAGGAAATTTTAATTTAAGGTATTACACATTTCTTTTCAGCAATTAAGTAACCTCATTTTCCAGTCTTTCAAGCTTTGGTAGTAACAAACTATCCACTTTTAATTTTATCTGTCGTTTGTTGTTTTAGGTATCGAGTAGAGTCGATTTCATAATTCGGACGAAGCATATTTAATACTTTCCTCACGATCTAAAAGAAGCTGTTTCTCAAGTTGTGCTACCTAAATTATCGTGCCAGAGAGTCACTGCTAATTTCCTGTACACTCTTGATCTAAACAATAGACAAAATAGGCCCAGTTTATAAATTGGGATTTCCAGCTTAAGTGTGCTCCATCATCTACTCAAGGATAAGTATTAACTAAAAGTTAATTCTTGAACGCTCAAAACAAAATCTCAATTCTGAAACCAGAGGGCGTAGTGTGAGTTTACGTCAAATGCATTATCGACTGCGTAAAAAACTGACAATGTATGACGGATTGTACAGCGCCCCTAGCGGAAACTTTCAAGAACTAAAATCTTCATACATTTCCCTTTATATCACCGTGTGACATAACAGTTACAAACCAATTACTTCGTCATAAAATTCCAAACATAAATTTTATTCCATTTTAAATCAATGTCGCACGACGGTGACAAACCGTTCTATGCATTTTAGTGCCTTTTGTGCATACGAGATGGCGTTACTTGTATCAAAAGTTGGACGAAAGTCACTTCCCGCCAATTTGTAAGAACCGTTCGCGAGTCGTAAATGGAAAAATCGAAAAAAAAATACTATATAGANGTATTTAGTAGACTATTTTACTACACAGGTCTCGTTAGTGGTGGACATTTGGACCACACTCCATACATTTTTGGTCATTGTCCTTTCAGCTCAATCGGTTGAGGAAAACTGGTCTTAAATTCAGTTGCAGGATTTGTCCCACACATACTAACAAGTGAAGTCAATATAAAAGCTTGTAAGTAATAATAAAAAGCTTGTAATAAAAAACAAACTCTTTTCGCTTGTATTGGAGTGAGACCCTAATATACACGATCAAAGAGCTTGTCGCCTTTGTTTCGATTCATCCATCTGGATTATTGGATTTTTATCTGAAATTGTCCAGAAAGCTAATTAAACGAGATGACGATTATAGGATAACTTGTTTGAAGGAGTTATTTATTGGTTTTTAAGGAAATAATAACTAGGAAAGGGTTTGTAACAACACTCAATTATTTTGCGGGTAAAATCAACTTTGAGCTATTTCTAAATTTAAAGGACTGCGGTTAACTTAATTTTAGTTTGAGGAAAATTTATTGTATGATTTTTAACGGGTGATTTGTTTACGTTATAAGAGGGAGATTTATAAAATACAACAAGAAATTATTTCCCTTATCCCTAACATTATTTTTTCCCAAGACTTTTTGGAACTTGGTACCCATTTAGAACTAAATTCTTGCATGTCCGGTTAATACTAGAGTTGAATCCCAATTTTACATGACTGTTTTTTATGCATAACAAGGCAGGTATTTGACCACAATCGTACCTGGTGTTAAGTGGGATGCAGTCTAGCCCTTTATATCACCGTGTGACATAACAGTTACAAACCAATTACTTCGTCACGGTAATACTATCATACAGTATTGTAACTTCATATAAACGGACGAAGCGCGAGCTTTCCTTCGAAATTCAAATCTCGGTATGCGCTCGACATGCAAAAGTCGGGGGTGTCGCGAATGTGGCACAGTAATAAACTGACGATGTGTTGTTTTGTAAAGAGTGTGTTTCTTTTATAAAAATAATTACAAGCACCCTATTTATACAGGGTGTTAGGTAAATGTACGTATAAGCCGACACTAGCCCATGTTAACATTGTATGTAAATGGTATGGTGTAGTCAGTGATATCATTTTTTTTAAATTTTCATACAAAATAAATTTTTGTATAATCAGATTTGTATGAAAATTAAAATTATTAAAATGCTGATATCAATTTTCTGCCTTCACCATACCATTTATATGGACACGTTAACATGGGATAGTGTCTGCTTATAAACCCATTTACCTAACACCCTGTATAATAAATCAAGCATTTTGTACGCCTCAGTCGAGGCGCATACATTTTACGGTTATTTGTTACTAAATCTTAACACTAATATATTTTTTTAGTTAAATCTACTAATGACAAGACAACATGCATTTTTATCTTATTTCATTCACAAAGTATTTTGTTTGTCAAAATAAAATAAAAAATTACAATCACAAAATACATTCACCAAACTAGATAGAAATTCTAAGTAGGCAGATGTAGTGATAATAGGGTCTGCAGGTGAGCAGCCCTATCGCATGTTGTCATACGGTGACGTTCCGCGCGGCTGTTGACATTTATTTCAAAAATTTGGCCGAGTTGGAATACTGTATAGATAGTATTACCGTGACTTCGTCATAAAATTCCAAACATAAATTTTATTCCATTTTAAATCAATGTCGCACGACGGTGACAAACCGTTCTATGCATTTTAGTGCCTTTTGTGCATACGAGATGGCGTTACTTGTATCAAAAGTTGGACGTCACTTCCCGCCAATTTGTAAGAACCTTTCGCGAGTCGTAAATGGAAAAATCGAAAAAAAATACGATATCGAAGTAAACTACGAAGCTGTTGTATAATCTAGTAGGTAAGTTTATGATTATGACTATTTGTTGTTAGTAACGCATAATTTTTCGTAATTCTTGATAAATTCATCGAATATTTGTTTGTGACATTTCTGTTACATTGCGTTGTAATGTTCCCTTAGTGCAGTATATTGAACTTTGTTTTATTATTTGACAGAATGGCTTCTCGGAGTCTAAGAGAAGAAGAAATTGAGCAACATCTCTTTTGATTATGAGGTAAGCTAGGACGGATATGAAGATGATGACGACAGCGTTGCGGACCCTGACTTTATTCCAGATCTGGAGCACCCGTTCGAAGATGATGCTGTTAAAGTGGTTGAAGGATTAGATATCGATGATATTATTGAGAACTTAGAGCACAATGTAAGTACTTCTCAGCCTTCAGCTACCTAGAATCTTCTTCTCAGCCAGGACCATCAGCTCGTCGTCAAAGCAAGCCTAAACTGAATGTACGCTGGAGAAAGAAAAACTTACAACGAAACGCTACTCGGTTGAGTATGTTGACAGTGTAGAAGAATCGGAGATATCCACAGTCGCCTGGAAAAAAAATTCTTGGACCTTGTCATGTCTAATGCCTGGATTTTATATAAAAGGGTCCGCAAGGCGAACAACCCGCAAGATGCGCAGCTGTTGTCTTCAGCAGATTTTCGCGAAGAGATTGCTACAATATTGTGCAAAATNGGGTACGCAAGGCGAATAACCCGCAAGATGCGCAGCTGTTGTCTTCAGCAGATTTTCGCGAAGAGATTGCTACAATATTGTGCAAAATTGGTACCAAAGCGAACACAACACGGCGAACCATTGAACCTGAAATTCAGGCCAAAAAACGAAAAGGTCCAGCCCAATATGTCCCTCCGATAGCTGTGCGACAGGACCAAGTAGGGCATTGGCCTGTATGGGCAGAAAAGAGGATTCGTTGCAAGTACCCTAACTGCGCTGGCGTATCACAAACATTACGTGAAAAGTGGGGCGTAGCATTATGCTACAACAAACAAAACAATTGTTTCAAAGCGTTTCATACGTCTTAAAGAAAACATTAAGACGTATGAAACGCTTTTAAGACAGTGTAACAGATATGTCACACTCCCTATTTTGTAATTTTGTTACTTTCATAATTAAAAAATAACAAAAATAAAAAATACGTGTTTAGTTATTTACTAAAACCTATTAAAAAATCAACTTTTTAAAGAAATCATAGTTGTTGAATTATAAAGGGTTAAAACGGAACATCTCACATCCAGGTAATTGGTTATCGTAAATATTATAATATTCAGTTAGTTTTATTTCAAATTCAATTTTTTATTGCGCATTAAGTGTCTTTACACAAGGTCTTNGAATTAAAAAATAACAAAAATAAAAAATACGTGTTTAGTTATTTACTAGAACCTATTAAAAAATCAACTTTTAAAAAAAATCATAGTTGTTGAATTATAAAGGGTTAATCCGCTCTCTAGTGACGACGTTTTATGTAAACTCAAAGTCAAAAGTCAAAGTCAAAATTTCTTTATTTGTATAGACTATTATTATAGTGCTTACAAATCGTCAAATATTTTGCTCTTAAGGAGCCTCTACCTACATGTCTCATAATCTTTTTACCCTACCAGCGCTTCGAGACCAACATTTGGCAAGTGCTGAGAGAAGCGCTCACACTAAACCCTCAGGCCACTCAAACTAATACATAGTCCTTACAGTGGCTAACTCGCTAATCGCTCTAATATCACACGAAATCAGATTATTGTCTGTCCCGACTCAAGCAAATGTGGCTGCTTTAAAGCTATTAGGGGCAAGATGAGATTATGGCAGCATCAATTAGGCTTAATAAGAGGCGATGGGAGCTGGAATGGACCGTGTAATTAATGCACAAATCTATGAGATTATCTTGTTTGTTTGTCACATATCTTGATAGCAGTGATAATTCTTAACGATGTCTATTATGGTTTTGGTAATCATCTTTACTCTTTACATTGGCACTCGTAGCCTGAAGGTTAGGGACTTCAAACAAAGCCGTGGGACTCAGTTTT